TATATCATGCTTTTTAAGGGGTAACTAAAGTTTAGCAAGTTTGATTTGATGAATTATACGATGCGAAGAAGAACTTAAATAAGTTTGATTTAATGGATTGCTTCAACTTCTCGTGTTCCTCTTTTAATGAAGTCTCACTTAATAATAAATAAACCGTGAAGAGAAAATGTACTACATTCTCGAGATTAAGCAATCCCAGTAAAATATCATAACATCATGCCTAAATGTGTGCTAAAAATTATCAAGCTCGGATATGCTCGACATTGACGAGTAAATTTACGCGAAGATTTGTTGCACTAGTGTGTGACACCACGAAACTAGAAAATCTTAGTAAGATGTAACAACAAAATAACTACATATTTCATATATTTCTTAACTCCAAAGCTAATACAGTAATTAGAAGGAAAAACTTGAGAGAGAGAGAGAGAGAGAGAAGCAAGGCCAGCTGAACCGAACTAGAAGAAATCAAACACCAAACCACAATTTGTAATTTTCCATCAGCCAACGCTCTGAGCAGGCTGATGGAAAACTTGACAAGGAACAGCAAACCTAGCAGAAAAAGACCTCGAAAGAACGTCTGGATCTGCCCAAGCCGCCGAACCCTGATCGAAATTCTTGGAATACGTATAAGGATCGTAAGGAACATGCACGACCTGAGTGCTAGTCGAGCAATCAAACAGCTGCAACGTCCTTTTCTTCTCCTTCTTTATTCTTTTCCACAAAACTCTCCACCTAATATTAATTGGCATGTTAATCTTGGTTTGATCTGCACTAAGTGACAGCTCGTTAAGGGACACCATGCTCCCAGACCCAATTTTGGCAACGGTTTGGATGTTTGAAATCACTTAGTTGCACCAAATGTGAAGGTCCATCGAGAGAGAGAGAGAGAGAGAGAGAGAGAGAGAGAGAGAGAGAAAGAACTGAAACTAAAGCTGGTGGTGTCTTGGTCTTTTTATAGAAGGGTTTAAGCGCATGATGATATCTGGTGCTATTTATGGTGGAGGGGGAACACACCCTGAGTCTGAGGCTTTGTATTTATCATGTTTTTTTTGCCTGCATCCATTAGGCGGCCGTGTCCGGCCAAAGGTTCAAAAGCCAAAATATGGTCTGATTTGTTTAAAAACTCATTACTGAATGTTGGGCTATAGTTCAGTTCATCAGACCATTATTTGGCCACAGGGATATTAGGCTGGCCAAATATAGCTCCCATCTTAGCCCCTTTTTTCGAGCCCAACTCTTAAGTTGCAATAATTAATTCAAATTGAACGGCTAGATTTGAAAACATCCAAATATAGTTTAATCAAATTAACTAATAAATTTAAAATATAAACTTAAAACTAATAAATTATTGAGGGTATTTAGCTTATTCTATTAGAGATGGTATCTGAGTAGTGCTTAACACAGTTCATTTAAAAATAATATTTTACACAGTTATAATTCTGGACATGACCATATTTAATCATTTCGGTTGGAAATGGTTGGACTGAAAATTAATTAGTAGAAGTAGAAGTAGAAGTAGTGAACGAGTATTTATTGTGTTGGCACATAAAAGGGCACCTCTTTGCTCAGAGTATTGAAACATGCATTTGCATTTGCTCCTTTTGTACTGAAGTGGAATAATAGATTAGCCACTGGCCAAGAACCAAGGGTAAATAGAAGGTCCAGCCCAATCGACACCCAACTTCTTTTGTATATTGAGATAGAAGTGCAATAGGATGGATCAATCGATACATGTCCAAACTTAATTCTACTTTTAAACTGATCAAGCGAGTTCAAACTTGAAATTAGATAAAACATTATCTTAGTTAACTCGACCTCAACTACATCATTTTTAAGTTGAATTAGGTTGAGGTCTTGGGCACCTAAACCCATCCTGATTTGTAATTTGAATTCTGATATATATTGTATTTGTAAAATTTTGGCCTTTATTATGCTTATAGATGCTTTAGACTCTAGAAGTAACATTATTTGTATTAAGTGGTTGTTCATACACACACACACACACACACACACACACACACACACACACACACACGTCTGTAATGTTTTTGAATAACAACATTAAGTTTGTAGTTTGATAGTATAATTTACTTGTTATTCTAATAGAGTAGATCATGCGTACTTTACGACCCAGATAATTAACCCCAGCTCGCCTTTGGTTGGGTTGGATTCACATTTTTTACAAGTCGATGAAATCCAAACAGAAATTGTACAGGATGAGTTTGAGTTCTTAAAAACAAATAAATAAATAAATAAAAAACAAAGGATGAGTTAGAGTTGAGTTGACCTTCAAATTTGCCAAATTGGCACGAGTTGCACTTCTATTGGGACTTTCATGTTTGTTGTGCACCAGTGTAGGTTGCTTCGCCCAATAACCGTTACGAAATCTTGTCGAAGGTTGTTAGATAGATTTCTTTTCACTCCAAAGCGTAGAAGGCTAAAAAAAGTAGTGATATTCATCTTCACTTATAAGTGAGAGTTTTTAAGTTTGATTCTCATTAAAGGTGAATTTGAACTATATTATTGCTAGCCCATTGTGAAGCTAAGCTCTCCCTCCGCCTTTGTAGATAATATCATTTCTTAAAAAAAAATAAATCGTGTGTGCTAAAAAGATCACTAACCATGTTTTTAATGGTAAGAGAGTTCATATCTCAAAGAGAAGGTGTCGAGTTTAAGTTAGGTTTTGAAATGCAATTCAATTTAACCTAGGGTATCTCTACCTTTGCTTATCAAAAGAATTCAACCACAAATTTTCATAGAATTATGCATGACGTAAAAATGGAGAAATCTTCTTCTTCCTAAGTGGTTGGAGTGGAATTTCAGACAGAAAATTTGTCAACCAATCCAAGTTAGTCCGTAGCCAACGAATCGAAGCAAACAAAAAGGGTTTATACTTTTGAATTGCAATAGAGATTTATTTTACACACAAAATTATAACTCTAGCTAAAGCTATACATATGTACATTCAACATATATACACTGACCCATTGATTGCAAATGCATATTTGCGATTCATCACTGCGGGAATAAATAAATATTGAAGATTAGAAGATGTACACACACACAAAAACACACATTTTATGATTTAACACTAATCCAAATTGTTGCAAACCTGAGCAAACTATCGAGAACTTTTTCCTTCTGATTATAATATTACCTATACTTGATTTATCAATTCATTCATTTTATAACAGGTGTATATTTATTGATTGATGTGATAAAATTAGCGTAAATTAGTAACAAAAGAACTTCGCCTAAAAAAAATGTTCAAATTAACCGTATGATTATGAATTATTTTATTTCTATATTAATAGATTAATGAATAGAATCTTAAATCAGATTAATGAATAGAATATTAAATCCGGTAAGAAGATAAAATCTCAAATCACCAATTCGTCTGAAATTTTTGTTATTTTTTCTTTTTTATCCAGTCGCTACAAGATCAACAATTCTGTGAGCTTGGGCTTCTGTTGCTGACACAAAAACATCTCTTTCCATATATTCGGATACAACCCATAAGGGTTTGCCTGTCCTTTGTACATAAACCCTTGTAACGGTTTCGCGCAGCTTCAAAAGTATTAACACACAAATATTTCTCCTCTATATAAGATTAATCAATTTGCATGCTCACCTCATAGCAATTATGACGAAAAATTGTCTGATTTACTGTATTCACCATAACTTCACACGAAACTCTTGCCTGTCAATTGTGGCAAACCAAAACATCACTTCAAGCCCTTCTCTCTTTCCTTAACCATGAATTGATTAAATCTTAATCCACAAATTAATTAATTAACGTTACCTAACATACGTACCTGCAAGGGGAACTGAAAAAACAAGAAGCCGAGCCGCCCTTGGACCTCCGTGACGGTGTCAAACGGCACCGTTCCCTTAGCCAAGTCCTCAAGCAGAAGCACCACGTCGGAAAACACCCCGACCTCATTAAACTCCACCTCCGCGTCCAAGTACGACGAGCCAAGCGCCCGCACGTAACCCTGCTGGAACGTCGCTTGCCCCAGCCTCCTCCCTCTGTACCCAACCGCCACCTCCAGCGCCTCGTAGTCCATCGCGTAAACGTCAACGTTCTGGACCTTAATCGTCACCGACATGGACACGTCGATGGTCACTCGTGGCCGCGTGTGGACTTGAACCTTGTTAAGCCGAAGCCGTACGATCTTCAGGGAGGGGTCGGACGGCCAGAGAACGAAGGCGGAGAAGGTGGCGGCTAGGAGTGTAAGTATGAGAGTAGTGGCTAGGATAGTTGTGCGCCGTCGTTGGGAGTGAGAACAAGATGGTGGTGATAGAACGACGTAGTTTTGGTCCGCGAGTAATGGGGTGCATGGTTGGGGTGGTGGTGGTGGTTCTGAGCGGGGGGTGGCCATGGGCATGGGGGTGGTGGTGGGGAGCGTGAAGTGGAAGATGAGTTGTGGGGTTTGTACCGTTTGTTTGTTTGGTTGCTCTTTTGAGGCTTTTCGTTTGAATGTTTGGGAAACTCAGGTGGGGTAGAGTTGGTGCTTCCTAGTTATTTCTCAACCGTCCCTTTCATTTTATGTTTGTTAGAGCATCTCTGAAGATTGGAATTTTTTTTTTTTTTTGAGCAAACGTGTTATCTTTATTAAAATAGTGAAAAAGTGGCTAAATTCACAATAAAATAGTAATAATATAATTTAAATTTATCTTTAATGAAAATTAAAAATAATACCTCTTACTTGTAAAAGATCCCTTTCCCACCAACACAATGGCCAGGGCCTTGTTGCAAGCTTTCCCCAAAAGCCCACCCACGGACACAAACTCGGATCCTTACGACTTAAGCTCCACAATCCGTTAGGTGAGATGAACTTGGCAGTCGTGTCCGGAGGCCTTAAAAGAAGATATCTTCAATTTGTTTTTGGATTAAATTATATTTTACCTTCTTAAGTTTAAATATAATTATAATTTTATATAATATTTTTAAAATATTACAATCATATCATTTAGTTGTTATTTATTTTAATTTATACATCCGTTAAAAAAACTGTTAACGTCTTCGTTAACTGCCTACGTGAACATCGCAGATTCCACGCATATGTGCCACGTGAATTAAATTAAAAGAAATTATAAAAAATCTCAATTAAAAACTAACGTTAAAAATAATTTTATTTTAAAACTTAGATCCTTCTCTCCAACCCAGATTCTCCAGCCCCTTAATCCGCCACTCCCATGGCCGCGAGCACTGGCGGAAGACACCCACATCGACCTCCACGAGCCTCTCACCACACCGTTCATTACAGAGATAGAGGTCGAGGATTATGGCGAGCTCAGCGCATGTGGTGGATCAGTCGTCGAGCAAAACGGGTCCTGTGGGGCTACCCGATTTACATCAAATCCGGATTGATTGATCAGCCATTCAAAGGTTCAGATCTGGTCTCCTCGGTAATGTGTCTTGGCTGCAGGTGCAGCGGGAAAAGGAGAGAAGACGGGACCAAAACCCAGTGCGACGAAAAGAAATCAAGCGGATCAAAACCCATTATAGATTTCGAGAAAACAAGAAAAACCCATGAATCGAAAAGCTTAAAGAGTCAAAGAAATGGGAAATTTTGCAGAAGGACGACTGACCTCTTTGACTTCAGTGGAACACTCCGAAGGGTCGGAGAACGATCTCTTCAGGCAGGCCGATTCACCCATCTTAGTGTTCTTGCTTTCTCTGGTAAAATCCCTCTACTTGGGGTCGTTGAATATATGGCTAGAAATTTGAATTGTGAATTGGAATTCAAGAAATGCTGCTTATTGTGTCCATTCCATGTTTGGTTTTACAGTTTTTACCCAAAAATGTGCAGAAAAAATGGGGCTTTTAGAGAGAACGAGGGCCTCTGGGTTTTTTGTTTGCCTTTAATGTTTGGGGTTTTAGTTTGCTTGTTGATTTTCTTGGATGGAGATGTCTCTTTCTATGTTTTTGGATAAATTACATTTATCAAAATCAAAGATTGCCGAATTCGGCCGGAGAAGAAGGTGGTGGGGGAATGGCTGTGGTTCTGGCGGTGAGGGAAGGAAAATGGGTGAGGGAGGAGACGGATGGAGTGGGGAAGAAGAATGGGGATGGAGTTGGTAAGGGGTGGGGCCCACAGTTTTTAATAAAATGTTTAAATTACTTTTCTCTTAAACGATTTATTTTTTTTTGTTGGAGTTTTAAGTTTTTGGTTTTTTTGGCTTATGTGCCTTCCATGCCAGCGCAAAAAGTAAGTTTCAGATTTGCCGCGTTACTAATTAACAGTGAAGTTAACGAATTGACTAACGGTTCTTTCATATTAAAATAAAATAATAATAAATATATATTATTGAAATATTTTAAAGATGTATGAAGTTGTAATTGGACGCAAACTTAAGAGGGTGAAATGTAATTTACCTTCTATTTAATGGGAATTAATTGTGGGGCTCATTTCAAATCAAACTTCAATGATTCAAACCGATTTTTTTTTCAAATTGCATCTCATAAATCATCTTGTAAGATATTAGTCAAATTGGAATGATTTAAGACATCTAATTGAGTTCCAATAAATTAGGAAATGTTTTGTTTTATAAGAAACAATAAAATTTCATCGTGATAATTAAATAGACAAATTGTTTCAAATTGAATTGAATTTTTGCAATGATAATCTATTAATCGTGACATATAATAGATGATTCGAATAGTTGAAGTTCGATGTGGAGTCGATCCCACAACTAAAAAAATGGGGATCTCTTTACATAAAGGATTCATGTCGTATTTTTTGTGTTCGTGTCATTTTTGTGGCATATTCGATATCTTAACAAGTTGTGTCTTATAACACTCGTTAAAATAAACAAGTAATATGGCTTAACCCATAATTTACTTGTGAATATTAACATGTAATATAATCCGATCAGTTATCCGTTAAAAAAATATATTTTAAATCAATAAATAATCAAATTAAAAATATAATGCTAAATTAGTATCTACATACCACATTATCACATAAATATGATGTCAAAACATAAAAACATATTTGTTTTTCAAATATTACATATGCCAAAATAACAACCTAATGAAAAAAACGTTAGATTAGTATATTACTATCAAATATTAAATGTTGGAAGATATGCAAAATGAAGGTTGTGGTTGTGTCAGAGTCTGGGGTTTTGATCAATAAAACTGAGTCATATAACATCATCAAACCAGCTATGGCAACAAGGAGACTCTCTGAATTCGATGGACTCGGATAAACTAACCGGCGCCACCCTTTTTTTTTTTTTTTTTTTTGGTCAACTAGAAGGAATGCTGCTTCTCATTGAATGAGATTTGAGATTGGCGAAGTGCAAGGTGCAATAAAACTACCAGTCAATACTCAATACAACAACCAGTCTACTACTTGTAGAGATTGTCTGAGTGCTCTCTCTTCTTTGTCCACTTTGTAGTTTCTTCATCTATTAATTTTCTTGGCAAATCCACACAAAATTTCTTGTCACTTTTATTGCAACAGCTTTTCTCTCTCTCTCCCCCCCTCAAAGGCCGATACAATTTTGATCAAGGTAGTGCTCCAATGGCGAGGCCTGGCAACAAGATCATACAAGCCAAACTGGTGGGTATGTCTTACCCTCTCTTTTATTTCCAATTCTTTTACTTCTGTATTTTTTTCTATATTCTTTTGCATCTGTTGTTCCCTACAGCTACAATCTATCATTACAAAAGACTAATGTGTGCAGAGATTTTCATGAGAATCTGAAAGGGTTCTATTTGCAATTGCTTAGCTCAAGAATCTAAATTTATATATTACCCAGAATACAAAATTATATATATTTATATATTACCCAGAATACAAAATTATATATATATATATATATATATATATGTGTACACACTTTCTTCAACTGCATACTGGAAAGATTCAAGCCCACCTAAGTTTGATGTAAATTGTAAGGTCTGATGTAATGGGATATCAGGTATTCTGTATTCTACGGCTTCGATTTCCTAGTTGATACAATAAAACTATGGAGACTGCCATAAAAATGATAAAGCTTCCTTGTTCGAACGCTTGCGGTGGTTCATTTACTAGCTAAACATTTAGCTATGTTGGCTCTGTCAGGATTTCCAGCAGAGTAGCATTTCTAGGTGTGCCATTTTGTTACTCTAGACCGTCTTTTAGTTTTAGGATCGGATTTTTTATCTGCATTTGTAATCACATTATTAGCACCGAACGAAGTAGAAAAATGTTAATTCATTCTTTGTAGTTGTATTTACATGTAGTGCAAACAATATTAGTGGAATCATCTCACAAAGACACGGCTTATTTCTAAATTTCTTAAATGTTTCTGTTTCAGGTGCTTCTAGGGGACATGGGAACTGGGAAAACCAGCTTGGTGTTAAGATTTGTCAAAGGCCAGTTCTTCGATAACCAGGTTTTTGTTGACCTCTTGTATTTTCGACATAATCTTTCCTTCTCCCAATTTATGTGTTTCACAGGGAGGACCTTGGTGCTTATCTGTGATGCAGGAACCAACGATAGGAGCAGCTTTTTTCACTCAAATACTGTCTTTAAGTGAAGCCACTGTGAAGTTTGATATATGGGACACCGCAGGACAAGAACGATACCATAGCTTGGCTCCTATGTACTATCGTGGTGCAGCATCGGCTGTAGTCGTGTATGACATCTCAAGCACGGTACTTAGCTAGGAATTAATTTCCACTTACAAGATACCAAAAGTTGCACATTTTAGAAGACTGAATGCATGCAGCTCTCTCTCTGTCTCTCTCTCTCTCCTCTCTCTCTCGTCTCTCTGTGATTAGCTTGTGAATATCTATGGTTCTCTGATTAGTATTTTGCGTTGTCCCCAGGAGACATTTACTCGAGCCAAAAAATGGGTTCAAGAATTGCAGAGGCAAGGTAAACCAGTGTTCGTATCATGTTTTTCCTGTCCTATACTCTGTGTCCAAAAGTAAAAACCGAATAGTCGAATTATTAAGAATGATTTACCTCTTCTCTTGTCTTAAGATAATGATAATTATATAATCTTCCTAATATGCTTTAGTTAAATCCAAAATTCTGTATATTTTGCAAATATTTCATCAGATATGTGATATACATTACTTACTAGACTAGTAATGTTCCGTTGCATACTGTTTCCGTATGTGTTGCCCTATGCAGAAAGGGTGGAACAAACCTTGCTTTTCAGAACCTCCTATTTAGTTCCCATTCTCATCCGAATCTTTCGGGCTATTTGTCACCTTCCATGGTCTAAAACTGTGTTGCTTGTATTATTAAATCTGTGGCAGGCCTCGATACCTCTCTTTCGCGTGCCCTCTGCTGTCAAAATTTTGATTGCTTTTCTCTGGCTAGCTAGTACATTCTGAAACAACCTGGTTTAGCTCTTGTATTGCGTACATCTCTGTGTATCCTACGTTAGATATTAAAGTAGTAAGTCTGTTTTGGGACCTTTTTTTTGGTTGCACTTCGAAAATGATTCGTTATCAGTATTGTGTGCTTGTTTTAGAATGATCTCGAGCTGTTCTTGAAAGATGATCTATTATTTATCACATTCTCTAGGGAATTTGAACTTGGTGATGGCATTGGTTGCAAATAAGTGCGATTTGGAGGCAAAAAGAGAGGTCGAGAGTGAGGTACTTCCAACAGCTTCTCCACAATTTCCCGTTCTCTTTCGCTTTCCTTCTGCATGACTGTTTTAGGAATGCACATTAAATGTTTCGCTGTTTGTTCAATCAAAAGTTGTAAACAGATCACAGGTCACTGTCTGATTTTTCTTTGCAGGAAGGGGAGCAATTTGCTCAAGAGAATGGGATGTTTTTCTTGGAAACATCAGCCAAAACCGCGCAGAACATTAACGAGCTTTTCCATGAAATAGGTAAAATTTAGGTTTATTATCCGGAAGAAAGATATGTTTCTGTTATATCAAGTGCCTAGGAACTAGGATAGCAGGTTGATCCCAAGGCTCATATCATATGAGACGTGAGCTGCTTGTTCGTGTAGGGTTGTATTACTCGAAATGACTCAGGATCACGGCTTTTTGACATTCGGAAAATTTCATTTACAGTTTCGCATTCTAGCTTAGTTTTTGAAATTCGGACAACGCTTAGACAGTTCTTTTCCTTTCCACCTATGCAGCAAAGAGACTAGCAAGAGCTGCTCCCGCAAAGCCTGCCAGAGCGAATCTAAACAGCGAAACACGAGACAGAAGAAGAATGGGATTTTGCTGCTTGGGATGACTTGACGACATTTTTTGAGCAATCTCATTTTGCCTGTGGCTCGAAGATCGTCGTTTTCTTCAAAGTGCAAAGTCGAAGTCTTAACAAATTGCCCCCAGGAAATCAAACATGTTACTGATTGAAAGATACATCTGTACATAAGATTCGTATACGTTCTGCAGAACATCAATGTTGCCTTGACAATCATATTCGTATGTCGCCGATGTTCATCGAAAGCATATGAAGCAGAGTGTAGCCATTACAAAAAAAAAAACTTAGGTTGGATGGATCAGCTCATCTGTAGACTAACTGTAAAGGCAGTCCTCATTCTTTTTCATCAGCTTGTGTGTGGTTTCCAACCATCTATACATCTTTTTCCTACAAGGGGTTATCTAGCTCACTTAACTATTTTAAAAGGTTCTAAGCTATTAAGTAGGATAATCTAAAGGTATTTGCCAACCTGGTCTGTTTGGCTGTCTTTTGCAGTTTAAGACCACTGGATTCTTTCCTTGGAAGGAAGAAAGGTATATATAAAGAGTACATCTTCCATAATTCTAAAACACTGCCTTTAATAAAAGCAAACTCTTATTAGCACTTCAAAATCTTATTCTACACTCCTCACAAGTGAATTTATTCGGGATGTAAAATGAGATTTTTATAGTGCTAATAACAATCCCTAATGAAATATATATGCTATCTTTACAAGTGACTCGTTTTTTTTTTTTTTTTTTTGAATAAACGATATTATCTACACTAAGGGGAAAGAGGTGGTTTTAGCCTTACAATGAGCTAGCAATAATGTGGTTTAAATTTGCTTTTAACGAGAATCAACGTAAGACCTCTTACTTATAAGTAAAGAGGAATACCGCTAGACCGTAGTACTAAATGGCAAGTTACTCGTTTAAATCTAAGCTACAAATCTAAACCATTGGTGATATTAGTAAAAGAACTTTACAATTCCAACCCTCCGTAACAAAATTAACAAAAAACCAATCTGCCACATAAGACAAGAACAGCCCCTAATGACATTACAGTTATGGGTATTTTTGGAATATTGGTGTGTGGGTGCACGTGATGTAATTTATTCTGGTGGTTAGTCTCCTTCTTCAACCCATTGCGTCTCGAGTTTAAATTCTCCTCTTCTATAGTGTAAATTAAAGTAGTTAAATTGCTTGTATCATGAGGAAAAGGAATTTAGGTGGAAAAGATTGTGTCACCTTTATTAGGAACCACATTCTTTAAAGAAAAAGTACCAAGTTTAAGGGTATCATAGAAACACAACCACATTCTTCCTAGAAGTGTCCATGTCTCATAAATTTCTTTAATGCAAAACTGGTTACCTGACACCAACTTGGAAGGTTATAGTTGGACAATGACTTAGATGAATAATAACTTCAACGTTATGACGTCTCAAATCAATAATACAATGTCATGTGAAAGAACGACGATACCAAGTTGAGACTCAATATTACATCATTGTCCGAAACGCTTCGTCAGCATTCCAAAGAAAGTCTATACCAGTCAAGAAATATAAACATAATCCCCCCCATGGCCAAAACCAAGAGACAATTCTCAGTACGTATTGAAACAACTTTATGTATATGATTTTGAGGGCTTTGTCCCATAAGAAAATTGCACAAACTTATAAGTTGGTAATAGATACAAATATACTTAAAAGCAGGAAAAATCCATTTAAACAAACCTATTCTCTTGCTGAGCTCTCACTTGGATTATGGGATGATCAGGACCTCAAGCCTCTGTACATTTCTGAACAAGAATAGGCGAACTCCGACAACGCCCTAAAGAGTTCTGGCAAGCGAGTTTTAAGACTTACTACCGACTTCTCTCTCACCTGAAGGCCTAGCCGTTCATATGTTTCCTCCTCATCCTCTAACCTCTTCTTCACCATCTCCACAGCAAACTGCTTTTCTGCAAGCACATCGCTTCGAGTGTGGCCTTCTGGCCTATCTGTATCTCCTTCGTCCGGAATGGTCTTGTGCTTATTTTTATCGTACCATTCTTGGAACTGTCTCATCTTGCGGGAAAGTTCTTTCCGGGTGTCATCACACTTCTCCTTCATTTTAATTTCTTCCTCTTGGTGAATCATAATAGTATTGATTGCAGCAGCAAAGTTGTGTATAGCAGTTCTTGCAACATCGTCTGGAAGTTTCTCAAGATTATCATGCCATGCAAGGAGGAGTCCCTGAATAGGGGGCCGTTGAATTCTTGGCGGGGAAGAAACCTTCTCCTTCAAGCTGCTCTCAATGGGGATGAGATTAAGTTTTAACCAACTGTTGAGGGCCTTTATGTACTCCTTTTGTTGACTCACAAGCTTCACAAACTCAGCGTGCCACACTTGCACAACACCAAACAGCTGTATCGTGCGCTCATGGTGATGCTCACTTGTGTGCTTGGGACATTGGGAGAGGTCCAACAACCTGAGTTCTGTTGCAATATTCGATTGGCTCTTATGGTGAGCTCGCATTGTTTCCCACATACTTGCCATCCTGCAGTCCAAGAGTCATTTATTAGTGGTTTGAAATTTTATGTTTGAAGATGAAGCAGTATAACTGTTCAAGCACTAAAGATCTAAACTCCCATAAGGTCAGTTTGGTGGTAATTAACCAAAACAAAATAAAAGAATCTCTTGGAGCACCATCCACTCGTAAGTTGTGAGGAAAGGAAAGCTTATGTTGAATGCTTTCCAGCATAAAAAATATGAATCAATTCCAATTGATCAGTGTCCAGATCCCTAGTTCTACATAACACACATAGCTAGTCAAATATTCCAGTGCGGATACAAAACTCTAACGTTCTTTTCTTTTCTTCATTGCTCTTTCAAAAGATAATTCTGAGCACCCTATATTCTGAAAAACTTATCCAGTAACTACTGAACTTTTTCGGGAGAATATATGTAGCTATGATTCATTATTTGCAACATCTACCTACAACTCATTATTCCTCCCCCCCCCCCCCCCCACCCCCTCTCCTCCTCCTCCTCTCCTCATATTAACCACTTATCAAATCCCTAATCAACCCAAAAAATATGCACAAGTTGACTATTGTTCTCTAATCTATCATCAAATGCAATAAATAAATTAAGATGTCGAAAAGCAGGAACTCGTCAAAAAGTAAGAAAGCTGAAACAAAGAAACTGCTCATAAATAAATGGAGTCTTCAAGAAAAACTCACCCCTCAACAAGCTGAACAAGTTTTGGGTACAACTGTTCGTCTCGTAATGAGTTTATCTCTGCTACTGTTGAATCCATGGACTGCATGTCGACAATGTATCTTGTATGCAGATGACTTACAGCTGCTTTTGCCTTCTCCAATGCTTCGGAGTTAGTACCCCGTTTCTTCACCCTGTTCAGCGAGGCAACCTTCTTTTGGTACTCAAATTTCATAAGCTCACCTGCCTATCCACCAACCAATCCCACAAACGATTTCAGCACACATGTAATCAATGATTGACATCAGTGAAGAGCATTACTAAAGTTTAAGGGACCACAACACAACCGAAGCAAACGACAACAGGGACAGATTCACAAAGTTGTGTGGAACAAGGTAGCATGTAAACCAGTATACTGATATGAGTGAAAGAAACAAAAAGGAAAATGATGGGAGTTTTTTAGTACCTTGACTTCATCGTATAGCTTTTTCTCCCACGCCAACAATTTATCCAAGATGGTAGCGTGAGTTTCGTGCTCTTCCAAGTCGAAGTCATCCTTGCCCTCATCCACATTCGTCAATCCTCGAAAAGACCGATTCCATGTAATAACACGCATCAGTCTAGCAGAGTGATCAATATGCCCTGCAATTGTAATCACAGTAATTGCCAGCAAACATCAGAATTACTCTTTTTCGGTCTGAAAACATCATAAGATTACTCCAACGAACATAACAATACCCGACAACAGAATCATAAGATTACCTCGATTATCAGCAAAATTGGAGTGATAGTGGAGCCGCGTGGCCTCCAACATCTTGGAAACATCATGGGCACTCTCCGAAGCCTTGAGAAAATGGTCATCAAGCTCCCCAAATATCTGCACCAAATTCACAGTCCCCTTTGATCCCGCCGCCTTCGGCTTCTTCGGGCTATTTCCAGTGGACCCCCCGGGCACCACCTCCGCCACCGCAGGCGGCGGCTCCATTACCACCTCCTCGACTTTCGAACTCCTCTCCACCTCTTCCTCTTCATCCTTTTCCACTCTCTTCGGACTTTCGTCCAACTCCTCCTCTTCTTCAATACTCTCTACTCTCGTTGGCGGCCTTTCGTCGTACACCTTTCGCTCAATCTCTTCGGCGTCTGCCAACGTCGACGCCGGCATATTATCCACTGAGAAAAAGTAGTCAAAAGGGCTGTCCTGATGCTGTGGCAACGGCGGCACCATCCGGCTCTCCACCGAAACCGGCGGCGCCGGAGATGAAACTGGCGGTGGACCATCCGAATTGTGATCTTTCTCCACAACCCCTCTTTTACCCCGGCTGCTCCTGCTCCTCCGCCTCAAGCTCTCGCTCTCAATCACCTCATCGTCCTCGTCCTCCTCGATGATGGGCTTGGGCTTGGTCTTGGACTTGGGCAGGGGCTTCGGTTCGGGTTTGATCTCGGGCATGCTGGCGGCGCGCTGTAGAGGGGAGCCGGAGAAGCTAGGAAGCGGCGGAGGTGGAGGAAGATTATCGACAAAAGGAGGCGGGGCGGGGGGGCCGAGGGTGGCGGAGGAGGGCAAATTGGGCTGGGGGTATGGACCGAGCACCTCGCCCTGGGCGTAGTCGCTTAAGGCGGCGCCGGTGTTCTTCAAGTAGATGGCGTAGGAGGAGTGGGCGGCGGCGAAGGCGTTACGAAAGGAGACGGCTTGTTTCATGAAGAGCTTGCGATCTTTGCAGCGGGAGACCGCTTCTTCGTTCTCGATCTTGGACTGGGTGCAGCCCATGTCTGGCTATTCAGCTGAGATTCGGGAAACGGGCAAGGAAGATCGAAGAAGATGCTGATTGGGAGTTTAGAGAGAGAGAGAGAGAGAGAGAGAGAGAGAGAGTTGAAGGAGGTTGGAGGTGTTACTTTTGAGTCAGCGTCTACTTCCGTGAGGAAAAGAAAGGGGCAAAACGCCACACTTCACGGCTGCAGGATTCGGCTCTTACGACAACGTCAGATTTTTTAATGTTCTAGCAACTACTGCATGATATATGTTAATTATATAAATACATGAAATTTATTTTTATTTCCACCTGTACAATGAAACCAGGATTCTCTCTTTTTCGTTTTTCATCCCCTTCTTTTCTTTCTTTTCATATTTTCTATTTTATCTTTCTTTTTTATATAAAATTAATAAAAGATGTTAACGTCGTTTAACCGTGACTGTTCGAATAGAAGAATTAGAAATAAAAAGAAAAAAAGAAGAAAAAAATTATATTCCTGTATAATGACGTGTGTATCTAGCTCGATGACAAGTGACAACGGAAACGGTGTTACTTTTCACACGGTTTTATTTGTATTTGTACTTTTTTTTTTTTTAAAGAATTGTATTATTTTGGTAATTACAAGGGGATTTGGTGGGGATAGAGAGAGAGGGAGAAAGGATGGGAAGAAGAAGGGACAAACAAGGAAAGATGCGTTTGGGATTTTGGAGTTTGGTCTTTTGGGGATGAGTTTTGGAAATTAGCGGCTAAGTCAACAAATCGTAAATGATGGGTCAGAAGAATCAAACTTAAAATTACGATTTATCACAAAAAAAATGTTAAGTAGACTTTTTTAAAATGAAGCTTTTTATAAAAATTTTGCCATCTTATATTTTTAGTATAATTTTATGTAGCATGCATATTAACATTAAACTATGAGATGATGAAAAATTCATAAAAAATTCACTTTAGAATAACCTCCTTAACATTTTTTTGTGATAAATCATAAACGTAAGACACAATAACTTTTGAGGCTAAAATCATTCTTTAATAATTTTAGTCTAATATTTTAAGCCAGAAATATGAAAAAAAATATATATTTATGAATTAAAACCTAAATTTTAAGTGTTAAAGATTTAAATTTAACTCCAACCATTGTAGTTGGGTACAAAAAAATCTACCTACCAGTCCTATATCAAACCGAGAAGCAAGGGTTCCTTCAAGTCAAAGGTAAAATCAAGCATGCATGATGATAAACTGAACTGCAACCATTTTATTGGCGGCGATGGTTTTGACAACTTTCAGAAAGAAAAAAGAAATGAGGGCAAGAGGTGATGATAGAGTTCTTTGCAAATCTATGGACCAAATTTCAGAAGAATGTAATCCTTCTTGATTTTTCAATATATCGCTACTGCGTTCCCTAAACAATAATATTAGGGGTTGGCAGTTGGGGATTCGACTAAGTCACACAAGTATCAAACTCCCCATTTATCGAAAAGGTTTTACACGGTTTACACTTTACATCGGTTTTCTTTTGTTACACTTGATTTGCCAAAGCTCAACATCATTTCCTCGATCATACTCTTTCACATACTGAGGAACCTGTGTAATGTCTATGCATTTGCCCACAAAGCAAGGCACTGAACCACATTCGAGGCCTTCGCAATCTGCACCATCTATTGAAAATCCAAACTAACTATAAGCCAAAAGGATGAACAAATAAACGATAGAACACGCTCACGGATCATGATATCGGTGCATCTTGATACATGAACAATGCTTACCCCCCTCTAACTGCAAAAAGCTTCGGAAATGCAAGTAACCATTTGCCACAATGGCGAGATCGTCAAGACTGAAATTGTAACGCTTTTCCAACGCCAAGTATAACACCTGATATAGAAAGAAACCCCCGGTTATTGTTAAATGATGGACTTTAAAGAATATGAAACAGACGAGGAATTGTCAAAAATCAATATGGGAATGTAGTTATTATTCTGATTGACACCTATTCTTTTCATGATCAAGCTCACTCGATATAACGGTTGCTTCAAATCTTAAACTTTTGGTATATTAAAGGCAATTACTATTTAAAAAAATAAAAAAGGCAAGTACTCAAAACTCTGCCCAGCAGTTATGCTCGCTATTTTTTACAATTCTAACATGTTGGCTTGTACCTTTTTTGATCCCAGAGGCATTAATCTCTCTAAAGTGCTGAAAAATGCATCTGTCAGGTCATCGCTGTAGATTACATCTGCAGCTACAAGCACAGAAGCTTCCTGGGCAGCTTCAACTTCTGAAAAGGTCCAAGAATACCTAGGTAACATCATTAGAATTTGATTTGTGTTTCCCGATAAATGATGTTAGGATAGAACAAATAGTGTAAGTTGTTAAGCTACGTGAACGAGAGAATACCAGAAAAGCAAGTACATTAGCAGCGTACAAGACACTATCCGAAATCAATGTGTTTTAGTATCTTTCAAAATTCAACTAGTTGCAACAAACAATCAAAGTAGATACATAATTTTCACCTTTCACCCAGGGAGGATTCTTTTACGGCTATTCTTGGGGGCCATGGATTCATCCAATCAAGTTCACGTACATGAACAGAAGCTTGTTGACTAAACATTTCAGAATTAAGGTCGACATTCTTGGCACAGTTGTCAAGGACTTCATTCCCACGGTCTGACACAGAGGACAACCTTATATCACTATCAATTTGAATGGGATGACACAAATAAAGTATATCCGACCTAACTATTCATAGCAATCATCAAATCCTAGTAATATACACTGAACCGATCAAGCACCCGCTTTAAAAGAAATTGTTTCAGAGACTTGTACCAAAACTACAATGGGAAAAAAAAAAAAAAAAAAAATTAAACTTTCAAGGGACGAAAGGACATGGCAAACGAAATTCAGTATGTACAAGGTTCTTGTACCTGTTATAAACACTGTCTTCGCAACACGTGCAAGTAATACACCAACCAACCCTGATTAAAAAATCAATTCAAATTCCTGTCATCCAATAGATAGTGAAGTCTCAAATTAAAGTCACTGAAATCTTGAATGAGTAATGAATGACTCCACAAAATTGTATATGTTTTAGTGGTATATTGAGAAATAATCATGAACATAAATCTAAATTAAAGCGTTTTCCTCCGGCAAACTATGTTTTTAGCATGACTCCTACGATTCAGTTCAGCCATCCACAATTTGAAGTATCTAGAATCTCTAAGAACTCACGAATACAAGTTGACTTAATCTGAAATGAGTGTTTATGAGTCACTGACTGACAGATACAGTATAATAGTGAACATTAAGAAATATATTATTAATGTACCTGTACCAGCACCAAGTTCTAAACAGACAACTCCATCGAGTTCAGATGATGTAAACATCTTATGCAGCAAAAAATCAGATAACACAAGTTCTGCCCTCCACACCTGAGGGGGGAAATGAGATTCGATATGAACACTTAGCAAACAAACCAAGCTTAAAATGAAAGTTCAAAACCAACAGCAGCAACAACAACAAACAAAATTTACCTGCAAGCCGACACTCGGAATTGACGATGTGATATTATGCTGGATGCTCACACTGCAACTTGAAGTTGATAATTCTGCACATTTTTCATGTAAATTTTGTAAAGAAAACAAAACAAAACGAACTTGAAGAATGAAATGCGGCATTTTTCGATAGAATTACTGGTTTTGGTTAATGGGTAAATACAAAAAAAATCAACGACGCCATCAAATGCATGACACATTTTGGTTAATGGGTAAGTTAGCGCGCATCGCCGCTACATAACGGATATTGTATAGGCTATAGCAGTACCTCCAACATGACGCGATTTAAAACTTTGGTACTAACAAGCACAGGTGAAAACTGAAAACTTACTGCTGCGTCTTGGAAGAACAAGATCACCATCCTCATCCAAGCTAATCAATTGATTTGGGGAAGCATGTTCAAATCCTATGAGTAATTGACTGTGTTAGAGGCCTAGTTAAAGCTTGCATTTTTTTTCCATTGAATAAAAACCTAAATAAATAAAATGAAACAGAGGAGAGGCTATGGAGGTTACATTCAGTACCAGGTGGGATGGAGAAGGTGAAGTGGGAGATGTGGGGGCCACAGAAACCAGGTGGGCAGCCCAAGTGCACTTCACTCATCACCTGCTCTTCCTCCTCTGAATCTCTGCGCTTCATTTGCCCCGTCATCTCCATCGGACCTTCTTCCATCGACACCAATCTTGCCGAGAAACCAAACCCTAACCCTAATTGCGGTGTATCCCTGAAAAGATTTCGAATTTTAGGCGCTAAACGCCCCGTTTTTGGTTTACGAGAAAGAAAACTGAATTAGTGCTTAACCCATCTGGAAAATTCATAAGCAAACTAATCTCTACGAGGAGAAAAATAGACTCATAATTTTCTGTGTAAAAAAAGACCATTAATTTGTTTTAAATATTTTTCATTGTAAAAAATGTTGGAGAACGGAATCAAACACATAATCTCGAGTGTATGGTTGAATGCTTAAAAAAAATGTTACAACTTATAATTTTTTTCTTGAAAAATGACGGTTAGATCTTGAATATAGAGATTTAATTGATCTTTGCAATAATTACATCTTATATGAAATTCGTATTATTAAGGTGTAGCCTAACCTTATGTGATTTGTGCATGCTAGAATCTAATGGATTTTTTTTAAGTGATAGATTTTGGAGAATTTTAACGGACTCCAATTTTTTATGAACTTTGGCAGATTTATATAGATTTATATGAACTTGTTCCATGAATTTCTATCCTGGATTTTAATTTTTTGTTTTTTTTCAGTATATTGATATTTTTACACTAGAGGAAATGGTAGTTTGGTTAAATCATACAACGAGCAACCTAATTTGGTATCGAATTCCCCATCCACGAGATTCGAACGAAAGACCTCTCGCTTACAAATGACGAGGAATATCACCAGGTCGTACTACTAACTGGCCTCGATTTTAAAAATTTTAATACTCTTTCAAAATCTTAAATGGACCATACCCGAATTTTAAAGTATATTAAAATCGTTTCAAATTCTAATTTGACTGCATACAAGGGAAAGAAAGCATATAGCCGAAAAATCTCACACCCTTTAAGAATTACGTGGTACGATCGGATCGAATAAGCCCTTATGGAATAAATATTCAGCCACTTTCGAATCCTCGTGTACTGTCTTATTCAATGTTTGTTCAATTACTCTTTCACTCGCAAATGTAATATAAGCATGGGGTTCGGCAATAATGATATCTCCCAAACGTAAAAATATATGATCGGAATTTATATCTAAAGTATTGTTAGATTGTGAACCCAAAAGTTCAACCGTGCAACTTTGGGGATTTTTACATTGATATAGGACCAGTAAACTAATGATTAATGGATGTTTATCAACTCTAATAATATTTTCCTATTAGGATTTAGGAGGTAGGGGATACGACACCAACTCAATCTTTACATATAGACACACTTAAATTTCAAATGCTTTCTTTCTTCTATATTCCCCTAAGAGCGGCAATTCGAGCTGCCAGTTCATCGTACTCCGGTAGCTTTGGGTGCACATGCGCATCCGGTTCCAAGGACAATGCCCGGCCATGCTTTCTCGGTGCCTCAGTTGTACTTGTTGGCTCTGGTGGCAGAGATGATGCTCTGGCTGACGGTGCTTCTCGCTGACACCTTCTGCTTCTCTTCCATGTGGATTCACTGCCATCATCATCGTCTGCATCTCCCTTCTTCTGGCTTGATTCATAGGGTGACTGTTTCTTGCTGTAATGCAACAGAAGCCCGTCCATTATCCTCTCCTCTTCATCCCTTGGATCACTATCATCTCCATGTCTAGTTTTATCGTTCCTGTCAAGATTCTCGCGACCTGGTGGTGGTTTCAAGTTTCTCCTCCTTACTGATCTTGGTTTTGTGTTATCTTCGCTAACTGAAACGTCGCTAGGCTGATCTGTTTCCTTTTCAACGTGACTGCTTTCCTTTTTTCCAGGTCTTGGTTTGTAGTAAGGCGGTGGAATAAATTTGGAGTGGAAGGGCATCTTGTTGTTATCTGCTTCATCCGCGGATGTGCTTCCTACTGAGCTTGAAGAATACTTGGGGCAGATTGGGATGCGTCTGTTATGGTTTCATCTTCACTGCTGCTCTGCAGCTTGTATCTGTCATAAGAGTCACCCTTGCTTGCCTGAGGTTTCAAGTCGATTTCACTTCCTACTGATGTAGTAGAAGCCGTTGTGTGGCTTAATTTGTCCCCGGCATCCTGGTTTCTTCTCTTCGGGAAAGCATTGTCCTGCCCTTGATATGATTTGTGCATATCGTCATTGCTTTTAACTGGAGACCCATACCTGCGCTGACCCTGCAAAATAGGTCATACTGTTACTATCAACGAGAAGAGACAATACGAAGCATTACAATAACACAATGTGGGAAAAAATGGAGGGAAATGTTTGGCATCTAAGCAGATTTGGGATAATGATTTGAGACGACTTGTATTGTGACACACATAACTCAGCCTTCCTCGATCCCCAAAAGGTTCATAATATGTGCCACATCCTCAGATTTCCATATGATTCCTTCAAGCATAAGTAATTTATAACAATATATATATAGACTTACTTGGTCAGGTGCAGGCGGAGTATACAGTTTCTGTTCCAAGGCCTTTGAATCCCATTCAATTGAGAATTCCCGTGCTATGTCATGCATTAACTGGATCTTCATCTCCTTCGTTGGAGGCTTTGATTTCAACCGCTCCACAAACTGAGCACAAATGAAAATTGGGTCAGACGAGAGACAAACCTATAGAATAAGTATGCATCGTCTGATTATTCGATAACTAAGAACTTAAAGAGCAAGTTTTGAATTATCACCTCTTTATTCAGAAAGGGTTCGAGAGAATTTCCATATTTTTCACTAAACAGAGTTCGGAGGTCACGCAGTTCTGGCAAATCAGAAAATCGTGCTGCAGCGTACATCAAAGATGGAACAGCTTCCTTGCATTCCTCAGGGCACTCACTGTAGAACAAATGAAGGCTAAGGAGAAAAAGTCTAAAAAACTTAAGGACATATTATTCTGGAAGCGACATATACCTCTGACTTTGCATGAGAGACAGATGACTCGAGATGCATCCAAGAAAGTTTTCAGTTGATTCGTAACAGGCGGACATATTTTGCTCAACTAGAAGCCCCTCAGCCTGTTACCGATTATGAAGCGTTAAGAGCATTGAACAAGATATAATAATTGAGGCTATCTGAATGAACTACTGCCGCAAGCATATATGTAAATCAAGGACCATCTGCAACGATGCAATATGCGAGTAATCTTCATTCAATATAAATGCAAGGCAGTCAACAATCATCACATTGTGAGCAGGTTTTTGTTAGTGTGGTTGGGGATGAAGATTAACATCTCCAAGGCCTACTAAGATAAATTTTCGTGGACGTTTTTGCCAAAACGCCAGTGCAGAAGAAAATGTCATCCAAAATCAAGTATTTCATCTACGCCTAATGTAAAAAATGTTTGACATTTGCCCATGTAACTCGTTTTTGTCAACAGAATTGGTAACTTGGTAATTGGGTAAACTAGGTAAAGAAAACATAGAGCAAACCTACTTAGTTACCTAGTTAACTTGGTAATTAGGAAGAATCACAATTAATCATTTGGAAGCAAACTAATAGAGACAAAGCTAAACAAATCTTTCAAATGAATGATTTATGAGTAAAAAGAGGGCATGAAATGGATGACCAGCATGTGAGGAACAAGAAGCCATGGCGTAACGAAAAACCGGGCCACAACCAGTTGTTCTAGCTTGTGTATCAAGTTTCAGAAGCCGTGAGATAATCTCTGTGCAAGTGGGATTTGTGTGTTCAATGGAAGCAACAATAACATGCAGCCATCGCCGAAAATGATGCACCAAAAAGGCAAAGGAAAAAGTCATAAGGCAGGGCATGGAAACAAGCCTATTTCTCAGGCCACGGCAGACCATAAAATCAACCAAACTTGAGAAAACTATAAACAAGATTAACGTTAAATATGTTTAATTAATTAATCAAAAACAAAAACCAAGAACAAGATTAATTAAGCAGAAACATACATACCCTGCCATAAGCATTGATGCCAAGGCCACCGCTCAAAAGATCAGCCATATCGTTCTTCAAAAACTTCTGCACTGCGTTCCTCTTCTTCTTTATCGCCTCGAGGCGCATCTTCGTCATCTTTATATCCGATTTGCTGCATCAGAAAACACCCAAATTAGAAAGGAAAAAAAAAGTAACAATCAATGAACAGAAAAAATAAAGAAATAAAAAACTGAAAAGCGACTTGGGTTTTTTGCAACGAACCATTTGGTGACGAATCTCGGCTTTCGGAACCCCCTCAACATCTCGTTCCCTGAGGACTCTGCAAATTCACAATGACTGAGAATGTAACAACAACAAGGTAAAGAATGACTGAGGGATTAAAACATTTCGACTCACCGGTCCACGCCAAGGATCGGATTCAAGAAAACCCGGAAGGAAAGACCAATCTGGGGTTCAGAATGTTGGGCAAATTGGTCACAGCAATGCCTTGGAATTGGGATCACCACGAAGAACAGAGCTCGAAGATCAAGAATTCGGAGCTGTTATACACACACACACATATATATATATTTTTATATATATGTGTATGCATATATTTTTTTTTTCTGGGAAGAAGCTCGACAGATAGAGACGAAGGGTCAATGAAGAAGCTATATGTCCTAGGCAGATTAAGCTCTGGGAAATACTGAAAGGTCGTGGGTTTTTGCCACGTGGCCTGCCGCGAAAAATTAGCGCGCTGCATTTACGATTGTCGCTACCGAAAAACCGAAAATTATCTGGATTGCCTTCGTATCGACAACGAACCGAAGAGGGGTAATTTGGGAAGAAAAGTTTGTACAGGTTGCAGGCCTATTTGTTTAGGTCGCGGGAAACCAAACCGTCGAGAATATAGGCGGTTTTATTGTTGTGGATTTGGTCTCCGAAATTCTTCGGTTCAAAAGATTTTCATGGATTTTTGTAGTATTAATGGTTTTTAATTTAGCCACCGAAAAATCGCCAAAGTAATTAATTTTTCTGATCAAATGCCTACCATTATCAGATTATCATGTGAGTTTTCATAAATGCACTATCGCATTATTGTTTAAAATCATCAATAATTGGAATTGATTTTACAGTGACATTCAAATAATCAAAATCTTGTACAGAAGAAATTTTACGTTCAAATCTTATGAATTGAACAATATAAGTTTACTTCATTTAAGGGTTTGCTTTGAATTGAAATTTTGACGGCTCAAATTCTCAAATCCTAATAAAAATATTCATCA